TTCAGCTGTCTCCATGTGTAAAGCTGAGCTGGAGTTATGATATCCTAACTGAGAGCAGGAAACCGGACAAAATAACCTTAGAGGTTCCTGAGTTGTTCAAGGGTCTACATAAGCAGCATCTGGAGGCCAGAGGAGAGGGCATCTATGTGCATCCGCTGTCTAGTCAGGAGTGACTCCTACAGCAGGCAGCACAGACACGGGTCGGTACCTGGCTCGAAGATGGTGTTGTCTTTGCCCCACAAAAGCTTATGTAATGTTGCAGCCTTGACACTGAGTTTCAACACATTTGACTGAAATCAGACTGGCTGGAGCAGGAAACAATCAGTTGGCATGATACAGATTAGACGATGATGCACCAACAACAGCCATTCCGACAAGAAGCAGTGAAGAGTATCAGAATTGCTCAAGAGGCACCCATTATAATCTCAACACTAAAGGCTGAAGGATTACACAGAGACATTAATCATCAAATGTAATTTATATAGATACGTCTTTTACAAGAAACAGCCCTACACTTTCGAACCATATATAAACTATGGGTGATGCAGTAACTCAATAAAAAGCTAGATTAATTAGGTGTATGAAAGCAGGTGTGGTGATTATACACCAATAATCCCAACACTTGGAAGGAAGCAGAGGATAAAGAGCCCAAGGCCAGCCTGGGCTACAGACACTGCCTCAAAACAACACAAAACCCCTGGGTTTGATAGCTAGCACCCATGTAGTGTGGTTCGCACCATCTATAACTCCAGTTGCAGGGGGATCTGGACCTGGTGCTTTCTTCTGACCCCCATGGGCGTGCACACAGACATATATGCAGGCAATGTAACTCTCAGAGTTATCTGCCAATGAGTTTAGCCATGAGGTCACAACCGATGCTACAGGGTCTCTCTCTTTCCCACCCTCCTTTCCTTACTTATGCAGAGTCAGGGAATCCACACAGGCTATCTACCACACTGTAGCTTGCTAGCCTCAGCCTCCCAGAGTGCTAAATGAGAATGGGGTCAGGCAGTGGTAGTGCACGCCTTTAATCCCATCACTCCTGAAACAGAGGCAGGCAGATCTCTGAGAGCTCAAGGCAAGCCTGGCTTAGGCTGAAGAGTGAGTTCCAGGACAGGCTCCAAGCTACACAGAGAAACCCTGTCTCGAAAAACTTAAAAAAAAAAAAAAAAAGAAAAGATGAGTCATGGGTCACCATGGGTCTTAATATATGGGTCCCCCCCCTTCTACTTTGCCTATTTCTTTAAATAGACTTGTCTTGACCCATCTCTCACTAGACATTTCCAAGAAAGAAGTCTCTCACCAGAGCCTTACACATAATTAGCATTTTTGTTTGCTGCTGTCCCAGTCATCTCCTACCTGGGGCCAGTTCTGACACGCACAGCCCCTTTCCACTGAATCCACACTGTGTGTGCTGCGTGACGTCAGCCGCCCCACCCCCAGCGGGTCTGTGAGGGGACTTACAAAGGGGCTTTGAGCCACAACAAAGTCCCTTCCTCTCTCCTTAGGATCTCTGACATTTTTTTCCTTCCATTTAAAATTCTTCTTCCCATTTAATAAGAAACATTTCTTTATAAGACCATAAAGGAGAAAGATTTTTTTCCTTCCATTTAAAATTCTTCCCATTTAATAAGAAACATTTCTTTATAAGACCATAAAGGAGAAAGAGGGAGTTGGCAGGCCCAGGGAACTAAAAAAGTTGAGAGGGGAGTTTAAGAAACGCTGTAAAACTGCTTTGTGGTTACATCTCTTGCCAATTGGTTCCAGGTTAAAGTGGAGCTAACCTGTAGACACAGAAAAGGGGTCTAGCTAAAAAAAAAAAAAAAAAAAAAAAAAAAAAAAAAAAAAAAAAAAAAAAAAAAAAAAAAAAAAGCAAAACAAAACAAAAAAAACCCAAAACCTAAAAAATTCTTCCTAGCATTCAAAGATGGTCTCCAGTCATGACCTCTCCTGGGCAGGGAGGCAGCAGCTGCTGGGAGTTACTGGAAGGAACTGACAGTACCACCCCAGACATAACCCAGGCCTGGAGGATGAGCTGTTTTCTTTATCTCAGGAGGAATGCCTTATACTATTACTTCACCAATACCAGGATTCGGGCCAAATATTTGCCTTAAGAAGAGACAGCTTTCCCATCTAGTTGAAATCTGGAGTATATGATAGTTTTGCTACTCGTCAGATATGTTTATTTCATTACGAGGGCTGTTGTAAAAAACTATCCCGTATACAACGCCAGTTATGTAGGAAAGTATGAGAAAACTGGAAAAACTGACCTGCTCTGCAGCCCCTGGAGTGTGCTGCAAGGCACCAGCATGTGCAACTCATTTTCTAGTTAAGTAATTCCCTCTGGGGACTTGTGTGCAATCCACATGAAGTATCAAATTTCATTAGCAGATGCAGGAAAATGCAAGCCTGTGCATTTGCAAGTCAAAACTCCTGATGGCTAGCTACACTACTCAGGCTTTCAGCACCGATTTTTCCTAGGAGAGGAGTTTAGCTGATAAAAAACATTTGTTTGGAGGCCCAGATGAGGAAGTTGAGAAGAGAAGGGATTCAGCTAGCACTGAGACAACTAAGCCTCAGTCTTACTGCTACACTCTGGCCTTAACTCTCAGGCTGCAGCTGTGTCCAAGCATATAGCCATTCAGGCAGCAATTTCACCCCCAAGGCTACAAATGACAAAAGACACAGGAAGACAAATTAAAAGGGTAAGTGTATGAGAGCACACAGTCACACTGGCATCCAACTCTCTTCACTTTTAGGTACCAACCTGAATCCCAGAATGAGCTAGAGTTAACAGGAAACAGGACTAGGGATCCTCAAATCTCAGCACCCGTGTAAATAGCTCACTTGAGACTTTTATTAATGCGACTCGAATAAAAAGACATCCTGAGCACACATTCGACTCTACTGCAGCAGACCAGACAGACAAACAGCCTCGGTTAGTAGAACGGGTTAGAACTCCAGGTTTTCCACAATGAGCTCTAAGCCCACCCGGCTCTTACCTTGCTTTGAGTGTGTTCACCTCTCTCAAACATCATCTTTAGTCTGTTCAGCGGAACATTGTATTTCTCTATTTTGCCCGAAGCATCTGTGTGTTCACTCATTTCAGATTTCTCTACTTCATGCCTGGAATCTCCTAGACAATTTTCCATTTTCTTACTTTCTGTGGCCTGTGCTTTAAGATCCAGGCTGTTCTCTGAGGGGGAATGCCGACACTGAATAACGGCTTCCGGGCGAGATCCAAATCTAGGTTTGGGCTGGGTTTGCCCTTCCTGGTCTGCTCTGGATCCAGAGGCAGAGCCCTTGGTCACTTCGGCAGGAGGGTGGTCCACTCTGTGTGCACTCTCACTGCTGCTGTTTGGCAGTGTGTCTGTGTGGGACTCTGCTCCGGCCACAGGGTTCTCCCACTTCTTCTTTAACACAGACAGGGCCCCTCTTCTAAAGTGCTGGGGGAGATTTTCAGTGTTCTAGAAGAACAAGAAGACCAGTTAGAACTTGCCTGCTGCAACAGCCAAACATGCTTCTTTGTAAAATGAAAGTTAAAACTCCACGCTGCGCCTGGCCCACCACTGGTTCAGACAGCTGTGAGCAGTTACTGACTGCCCTGCCACAGGAGCAAGCATCCACCCAGGGCCCGGAGGGGGAAGAGGGAAAAGTCAGGAGCTGAAGCAGGAAGTGATAAAACAGGATAGCCTTATAAGGACAAAGTGAGCAGTGAGGACAGCCTACATCTCATGGTAGTTGCATTGGACAGACTTTTTTTTTCTCCCAAGACTCGTCCGGAAAGCAAGAAGAAAAGGCAAACCGCTAGGTACCTTCAAGATTGTAACTATACTTGAATAAAAATTCACCCAGGTATGCTACAAAAGTACAGGAGGACGCATGCTAGGAATTTTTTCTTACAAGAAAACAAGACAAAGATGCGGTACCTATGCAATTCCAATTATAATTATGGAGAACAACATGGAAAACTTGGCCTATCTATAAAATCTAGAGATTTACAGTTTTTGCATGGGTGGTATTAGTATATAGTTGACAGAATTTAAATGCATATAAACATTTTCTTTCCAGTCTCAGGGGTCAAACAGAAGATTCTTTTGCATGGCTGGAAAATATCCTATCCCTGAGCATTCCCAGCTCTCTGATGTTTGTTTGTTTTTGTTTTGTTTTTCGAGACAGGGTTTCTCTGTAGCTTTGGAGCCTGTCCAGGAACTAGCTCTGTCCTCAAACTCACAGAGATCTGCCTACCTCTGCTTCCCGAGTGCTGGGATTGTAGGTGTGCACCACCATGGCTCAGCAAACTCTCAGATTTTATATCTGCATAATAATCAAATCTTTCTCTTCTCTACTATTTATCTATATCTAATTTGTTGCTATCTTAGAAAATTCACTATTTTACAGATCCTTTGGTTGAGAAAAACTCTGATACTCAAAGGACACACTCATTTACACACATACCTAAGAGAGTTCACTTTCACTTGGGTCAAAAATGATAGCACAGATTGAAAAACAATCTATCTGTGAATTGTCAGGAATGCTGCAAGGAATAGTGGAAACATGTTTGTTGAGGTAAAATTAAGTATCCCGTGCTTTCAGAGTCCTAAATGAACCAAATGCTACCAACCTCCAGGACCTTCTTATTCTCCATTCCTGCTGCCTGTGACACCTCAGGATTTCAACTAGGAAAGAAAGGACAAGCAACCTAGGACCGAAAGACTTCAGGGAATTAGTGGGATTAGCAGCTATATTGGGAATTAGGTCTAGCCCTCTTCCTCTTCTGAACACACCGAGAGCCACTTCACCGAGGAGCAGCACAGCTTGGGTGATAGTCACGGAGGAACAGCTGGATCTTTGGATTTAAACCCTGGCTAGAGGCTGCAAGCATGGACCAGAGGCAGAGGAAACACAAAAGGCATAAATTGAGGCTAGGGGGGGGGGGGGGAGAACAGGACACAGCTCCTGTCAGGCATGATGCACAATTCCCAGTTTCCTAGTTACTTGTTTAGAAGGCTGAGGCAGGGGAATAATTGCTTGAGCCCAGGAGTTTAAGACTTGCCTGCACAGCACAGACCCTGTGTCAAAAATAAAATAAATGGGAAATGTCCCTCAAAGCTAGTGTTTCACTGCCAGTGGCATTCTCAGATTTATTACCTCCTGCCACAGACAAGACGTGCCATCGAGGTCCTTCAGTGCCTTCACTTGCTACACCAGGCCCGCACACGAGCCCTGAGAGGTAGAGCTACATCTGCCTTAGTGACTGAACACTACTTTTTCAGACATATCATATTTTCACTGACGAAGAAAGATGCTTTTCTTTCTTTCTTTCTTTCTTTCTTTCTTTCTTTCTTTCTTTCTTTCTTTTTTTTTTTTGGAGGGGGTGGTGGTGGTTTCCAGAGGGTTTCTCTGTATAATAGCCCTAGCTGTCCTGGAACTAGCTCTGTAGATCAGGCTGGCCTCGAACTCAAAGAGATTCACCTGCGTCTGCCTCCCTAGTGCTGGGATTAAAGGTGTGTACCACCACACCTGGCTTTTTCTTTTTTCTTTTTTTTAAAAGATTTTATTTATTTATTATGTATACAGTTATCTGCATGCATGCTTGCACACCAGAAGAGGGCACCAGATCTCATTACAGATGGTTGTGAGCCACCATGTGGTTGATGGGAGTTGAACTCAGGACCTCTGGAAGAGCAGTCAGTGCTCTTAACCTCTGAGCCATCTCTCCAGCCCATTTATTTATTTATTTATTTATTTATTTATTTATTTATTTTTGTTTTTCCAGACAGGGTTTCTCTGTGTAGCTTTGGAGCCTATCCTGGCACTCACTCTGGAGACCAGGCTGGCTTCGAACTCACAGAGATCACCTGCCTCTGCCTTCCAAGTGCTGAGATTAAAGGCATGCACCACCAACACCTGGCTCTGGCTTTTTCTTAGTATTCTTTACAATTAGCATGTGTTATTTGCATTATCTACCCCATCCAGCCATGTGACTTTGGACAGGTTTTCCAGTTTCTATGCACTATTATAAAGGACTACTGTAAAGAATAGATGAGCCCTTATTAATGTATGTAATATATAATTTGACATCAGTAGGCTTCTAGTAAGAAGTGACAATATTATTAAATGACTATTGCCAGGCCTGGTGGTATAGGCCTGTAATTGCAGCCTCTCAGGAAGCTGACACAAGATGGTTTATACATTAAAGGCCTCCTTGTGCTACAGAATGACTTCAAGACTAGTCTAAGCCGGCGGTGGTGCACGTCTTTAATCCCAGCACTTGGGAGACAGAGGCAGGTGGATCTCTGTGAGTTCGAGGCCACCCTGGTCTACAAGAGCTAGTTCCAGGATAGCCTCCAAAGCCACAGAGAAACCCTGCCTTGAAACTGCCTCCCCCCCAAAAAAAAAAAAAAAAACTAGCCTAGGCAACTCAGCAAGACCATGTCTAAATTCTCCAAACAACACCCTGCACCAGATCCACTCCACCCTGCAAACTTGAGACTTGTCAGATGACTTCTCTGGATAATAGCTGCTGCTGGCGTCCGATCACACAGTGGTGTGACACAGGGCCCCTCCTGCATGACCATTTGACTTTGATGAGCCAGAACTCAGTCCCTTCCAAATATGTGACTGTGGCTAAATCTCTCTTCCTCTTCTATCTGTAACATGAAGAGGTAGGTCAGTGAGCTGTCACGTGGAAATCTTGTCAGGCAGGTCATTTTAAAAGATAGAGGGTTGAGTGTAGTGGCACCAGCACTGGTGGAGGCTGAGGCTGAGGCTGAGGCTGAGGCAGGAAGATTGAAGAGTTTGAGGTCATCTTCAGCTACGTAGGGAGTATGTCGCCAGCCTTGGCTACAGGACACATCGTTTCAAAAACAAACAAAAAAGCAGGATGAAGCTGGGCATGGTGGTTAAGGCTTGTAATCCCAGAATTTTGGGGGCTGAGGAAAAGAGATATGGGTCTGTGATTCAAAACCAGCCAGGAACCTATATAGAGAGATCATATTGAAGGGACCAGCTTCCCTTTAGGCAGCCATAACAGCCGAACACGTGATTGCCATAACTTGCCTTGGCCACTTAGAGGTCAGATGCCTGCCTTGTGACAAGAAACCAATTAGAAGTTAGTTAGTCACCAGAAAGTCAGTTGCCTGCCTCCTGACAAGGAACCAATCAGAAGTTAGTTAGTCACTAGAAAGTCAGATGCCTGCCTCGTGACAAGGAACCAATCAGAAGCTAGCTGGTGGCGCTACGCTTTACGACCCTGGGTGTGCTTTACGGACAAGCGCACAGCAATGACGCACAAAGCATAGCAACCACCCTGGGAGGGCCTATGGGCCATAACAACCAGTTGGCCAATCAACACAGGGCAAGCCCTCCAAGCCTGGAGGCACACCAATCGTGAGCCTGTGCGTACCCCTAGACACTCCCCTTACGCTGTCCTATAAGATCTCTTGGGAGCCCCTAGGAGCTGTCTTTTGCTAGCCATCCGTCATGGCGGGTGGGTGAGAGACCCGAGCTAACATGGGGTTAGCTCGTTAAATTACAATAAAGCCTCATGCAGTTTGCATCAAGCTCTCAAATCCGCCTGGTGATTGGGGTGACCGTGAACATGGCCTGGGACCCCAGATACCTGAGTTTTCCGGGGGTTTAACAAAATCACTTAAAAAAAAAAGTAAATAAATAAGATCAATGAATGATGCAAGAGGAGGAACCAGGCATAGTGGCTACTTGCCTGTGATTCCAGCAATTGGAAGGCTGAAACAAAAGTTTTGCTGAGAGTTTGGGCTATGTAGCAAGCAAGACTCTGCTGAAAACAATATAAAACAAAGCCAGCCAGGACTAGATAGTAAATCTCCATGTTCAATGGAGAAAGGAAATAAAGAAGGGTGTGACTGCTCCTCAGGGGTTGATATAAGGGAGAGAGAGCATAGGCAGAGGCAGAGGCATGTGGAAGAGTCCAGACTGAACATGTCTGGCAACCTGAACCAGGCCATGTGGGGGAAGGGAGAAGCGAAGAGGCCAGGAGAGCAGGAACCAAGAGCAGAGGCCAAGAGGCCAAGAGACAGGTAGAGCCAAAATGGCTGGGTTATACAAGAATAAGAGAAGCTAAGGGAAGGAAGACCCAGTGCAGACCCTGGGCTGAAGAGCTCAGGGTCAGAAGTGGGGGATGGCGGGCACTGGTAATGTGGAGACTGACAGGCAGCATCTTCTTTGATATGTATAGAGGCACCTCAGTTAGCCATTTGTCCTGGGTTTGAGACCTAATACATGTCAAAAGGAAAAAAAAATGGTGGGAAGATGTTTGGGTAGAGCTTTGAATCCGACACATGGACCTCTTAGAGGGGAGAAATCGCTATGCTGACATTTCCAGAAAAGCAGGAACTAGAATCTGGGTGCACGGCTGGGCGTCCACATGGCTTGGTGCACAAGGCACATATCTCAAGAAGGTGCAGTCTGAGCCTGGGAAGGACCTGAGACTGTGAGCAACAGTGGGGTTACTGTCTGCGCTCCCATGTCTTGGTAGAGAAATGGTAAGCAACTTTCTGGGATCGGAGGCTATCATGCAGCCAATCCCACTATGGTTATCAGGAGAAATGTACTGGCTTCTCTTCATGGTAAAGTACTTGCTAAGCAAGGATGTGTGTGAATACGACCCTCTGTCCTGGGAGAGGAAAAGCAGATCTCTGTCATTTGTGAAAAACTGGTAAAAAATAAATAAATAAAGTTTGTAGTTTACTTCATAGCACCCTGTGACTTTGAGGAAAAAAAATTTTTTTAATTGGAATTAGAAACAAGATTGTTTTACATGACAATCCCAGTTCCCTTCCCCCTCCCATCCTCCCCTACCACCTCCCCGCCACCAACTAAAACCCTACCTATCACATATCCTTTCTGCTCCCCCTGGATAAGGAAAAAATTTAAAATTTCATATGCATTGGTATTTTGCTTGCATGTATGTCTGTATGAATGTATCTAAACCCCTGGAGCTAGGGTTACAGTTTTGAGCTGCTATGTGGGTGCAGGGAATTGAACCTGGGTCCTCTAGAAGAGCAGCCGTAACTAGTTTTAACGGCAGAGCTATCTGACTAGCCTCTGGCTTTGAGAAATGTTCTCAGAGCTCTGTGCAGTTAAATCAGAAGCTTGATAAAGGGGTGTGTGCATGTGTATACTAGTTATTGTTTTTATTTATATGTGTGTGGTCTGTGTACAGGTGTGTGCATGTGTGTGCTAGTGCTCTCAGAGGCCAGAAGACTTGGATCTGAAGTTAGAGGTCATTGTAAACTGCCTGGTGTGGGTACTGGGAATCCAACCCGGTCCTCTGCAAAAGCAATGCATGCTCTTAACTGCTCATCCAGTTTCCCAGCTGGATTTTTGTTTTGAGACAACCATCTACTATGTAGACTGTTCTCTAATCCGTGCTCCTCCTACCTCAGCCTCCCAAGTACTGGGACTACAGGTGCACACCACCACATTCACTCAGATGAAGGTATAGGAAAGTATCATCTTAATTACTTTAATTAAAAAAAAACAATTTCAAAACAAAAAGTTTCAAAAGAGGCTCTTTTATTTCTTGTTATTTTAAGTGCTGTCTCTTGCATTGCATAGTGAAGGGTCCTCAAAGCACAGGGTGCTGTTATAATTTCATTTCCTCACATTTCAGTCATCTTTCTTTCTTTTTAAGGTAGTTTTGTTTTGTTTGAGACAAGGTTTCTCTGTGTAGCCTTGGCTGTTCTGGAGCTCACTCTGTAGACCCAGGCTGGCTTCCAACTCAAAGATCTGCCTGCCTCTGCCTCCCAAGTGCTGGGATTAAAGGCATGCGCCACCACCACCTGGCTAAGATAGGTCTTTATACACAGCCCAGACCTCTTCCTGTTCTGCCTGAGTGCTGAGATTACAGGCATGTGACATGCATATGTCACACACATAAATCTTAACCAGATAGAACAAATATTACATTGTATGACTGTACCATGCTTCCCTATTCCCCACTGGTGAATACTGATATTTTTCAAATTTATTTGCTGATTATACCATAGTGGACATCTCACTGGTTTATTTGTGCTTCTCTGACCATCAGGGAGGCTAACCATTGGCTCACATGGCTAGTACATCTCCTTATGTAAAGACCATTCGCATTCCCTGACCTCAACTCACGATAGCTCAAGCCGTCCCCAGCCTCCCTAGTCATGCTGAGATGTCAGTCCTACCACACACAACTTACAACTGAATAACTGGTTCCTTTCTTTCCTCCCTGCCTTCCTTTCTTCTTCCTTTCTTTTGAGACAGGGTCTCATGTAGCCCATGTTAGCCTTGAACTCACTATCTAGCTGAGAATAACCTTGAATTTCTGATCCTCTTGCTTCCACCTACTCGGGCTGGGCTTGGGCATGTCTACACCTGGTTTATCTGCGCCCGAGATTGAACCCAGGGCCTCATAAGGCTAGGCAAGTACTCTACCATCTAGCTTATCCACAGGACCAGAAATGTTCCTTAATTGCTTCCCGAACTTTTGCCTTTTTTCCTCAACTGTTTAAGCTGGGTCACATCCATCCTTTGCACATTTCTCCAAAGTCCTTTCTCTTCACAGCTATAGCCCAAGTCCTCTCCTGGACTCTGCAGAACTTTCTCTTTGTAGTCCCCAATATAGCAACACCTGGTTTCCTCGGAACATTTGCATATTGCTCTTTCTGTCTGAATCTTTCCTCTCTTTGGCTTATGACCTTGGATAGGGTTACTTAAAAAGTAAGTACCAGACAAGAGGACCACACCGACAATACCTTTTGTATCTTCTTTGAGATGTTTTAAACCAACAGCCAACAGCAGCTACCTGGCTTTTTTTGGTCATTATTTCCTCCACTAGAATGAAAATTCCAGAGGTGTGGTCCATATTGTCAGCGTCTAAAACAGTATGTAGCAGGTGCCCTACAAAAACTTGTTAACTAGCCGAGCAAAAGGAGAAATGGGAAAAGTGGGAAGCACGGAAGGAGAGAGAAGGTGAGGGAACCAGCGACTGAGTGGATAATGGTGGCTTTTTCTTCTTTGTAGGCAAGGCTGGTCAAGAACTCCTCATTGTGTAGCTCAGGTAGGCCTTAAACTTGTAGCAATCCTCCTGCTTACGTTTCTGAGGCTAGGATTTCCAGCATGAATCACCAGGACCAAATGCTTTTTACTATTAATGTACCAGGGAGCTCGATTTTTAAATCAGAGGAAAATTAAGCTCACGATCCAGTTAATACTACTCCCCTAGAGAGACAAACCACCAAGTAAATGTTATACACCCATCTAAGCTATGTTCCTTATGGCATTGAATCCTTTAGAAGCTAAAGCTAAGGAATTTCTCTAGTTTGTGTGCTCAAAGTCAGCCTGGATACACAGTGAGAGCAATTTCCACCCTAAAAAGAGGGAAGGAAGGAAGTTAGAGTGGGGAGAGTAGAGAATGGACAGACAGGGTGCTGGCGGGACCCCGCAGCTGTGAAATTTACTAACTAGACCGGGTCTAGGAGCCAGCTTCCAGAAAGAGCCCAGCAGAGGAGCCCAGCTGCAGAGCTTTCTTTTAAATGCAGACTGTTCCATTTGGAGAAAGGGATGGTGACCCAGGAAACCTCCTCTCATTTGAGCTGACGGGGTTGTCATTTTACCAACCTTAGCAAAGCATCTGGCCTTCTATCATTTGCTCAGTATGGGGAAGAAGAAAAAGGGGGGTTCAAAAGGAAAAATCTGAAAATAGGATTCCCTGCACCTAATGGCTCACACATCAGACCAGCTGGCACAAATGTCCAGCTAGGCTGACATGGAGCCCACAGAGGGGCAGGTGGCTTGGCCACACAGACTGCTTAAGTTCCTTCCAGCTGCCCGGGGCCTCCGAGTACTCACATTTCTCTTCTTTTCCATGTTTGCCTCCTCAGCTGCTTTCTGGTACCTTCAGAGAAGGGAGGAAAAAAGATGTCTTCAAATTGACCTTTATTTTTACTCTCTCCATTTTAGTAAACTATTTGTGCACCTATTTCTGCCAGCATTTATCTTTAATCAAGTCTCCCAGAGGAGGCAGAGAATCACAGCAGCCCTCACTTCATCGGCCCATAAAGTCACATGCTCTGATATAAATAATGGTTCCTGAGGATGAGATTGAACGTGAGACACAACTGTGCAGGGCAAGGGCTGTGGAAGGAGCTCAGCTGGTGGAGCACTTGCTGGACATTCACAAAGCTCTGGACTCCATCCATAGCACTATGTAAACTGGATATAAACTCAATGCCCTTCCTGGCAGGAGGATCCGGTGTTGGAGGTCATCCTCAGCTACTTGTGAGTCTGAGTCTGAGGTCAGCCTGGGCTACGTAAGACCTTGTCTCAAAAAACAAAACAAAACAAAACAAAAACCTTTGGAATTAGCCAACTAAAAACAACACTCCATGAATTTTAAGATGCTCAAGCCTCCATTTCCCAAACACATACGTTAGCATCCCTGAAACTGTAGCTTCTGTCAGCAGACAGCTGTGAGGTGGTCTCACTATGTGCAATGCCTGAATTTAAACCAAGCTAAGGTATTGATATAAGGGATACAGTCACTGCGGCTCATTTATACAAACTTGATGGCATGGAGTTATTTTTGTTTGTTTGTTTGTTTCATCTGAGATAGAGACAGAGGTGGTATGTGTATGCATGTGTGCAGAGGTGCACACACCCATGAGAGCTTGCACAGAGGACAGAAAAGGACATGGGTGTCTTCCTCTAATGTTTTCAGCCTCACTCCCTTGGAAAAGCTCCCTTACTAAGCCCAACCCATCTTCTCTACTCTGGGGTTTACCCACATTCTGGGGTATATGGGTCATGCTTGTTTTTTTTTGTGTGTGTACGTGTGTGTTTGCTTTGTTTTGTCTTATTTTGTTTTGTTTTGAGAAGGGTCTCTCTATGTAGACCAGGCTGGCTGGCCTCAAATTCACAGAGATCCATTTGCCTCTGCTTCCTAAGTGCTTGGATGAAAGGTGTGTGACACTATGTTCACCTGACATGTTCAGCTTTTTATGTGGGTGCTAGGGATCCTACAAGGTCCTCATGCAGTGAGGGCTCTTACCTGTTAAACCCCTCTCCCTGTGTTTCTTTTCCTCTCTCTCTCTCTCTCTCTCTCTCTCTCTCTCTCTCTCTAAGACATGGTCTTACCTGTAGTCTAATCTGGCCTTGAATTTGTGACCCTGCCTTCCCCCCACAAGCACTGGGATCACAGATATGCACCACTGTACCTGGTTTTAGGTGGTGCTGGGGATGCTAGACTCTACCAAGTGAGCTACATTTCCACCAGAACATATTTTACTTATCAAGTAGAAGGAAATTTTTTCAGAAGCTAATATGCCACACTGGGAAGAGATGGGGAATGAGGCCTAACATTACTAGTGGAGAGGTAAAGCCTCTTTGGAAGGCATTCTTTGCTGCTTTCCCTAAACTACAAAAATGCAAATGTTAGATTATTCTCAGAATTTATTCTATAGATATACTCTTACATAAGAAAAATGATTTCTTTGTTTTTTGTTGTTGTTTTCAAGACAGGGTTCTCTGTGTAGCCCTGGCTGCTTTGAAACTAGCTCTGTAGACCAGGCTGGCCTTGAACTCAGAGATCCACCTGCTTCTGCCTCTCAATTGCTGGGATTAAAGGCGTTTGCCACCACTTCCTGGCAAAAAATGACTTCTAGAGTTACTACATTTACTGTAGCATCAACTATAACAGCTGAAGAGTGAAAATAAACTGGCTGTCTCTTAGCAGAGGGCAGGAAATGAATAACAGTGTATTATATGATGGAGTATTCAGAATGGAATACAATGGACAAAAGAAAAGTGGTGATGATATGAATGTCCTTTATGCCACTCAACTGTATACTTAAAAGTGGTAAATTTTATGTTATACATTTCATCACAAGTAAACAGAGCGGTATGGGCATGAAAATGGAGCAAACTCTTACATATATGGTCAAATGATTTCTGACAAGCATGCCACAATCATCCAAAGGGGAAGTACAGTTCTTTTCAGAGCATGGTTTCGGGAACCAGATATCCATATGCAAGAAAATAAAGCTGGGTCCTCACAGAATTCCCTGTACCAAATGGGTCAAAAGCTGAAGCCACAAAACTTAAAAAAAAAGAGGCAGAGAAAAGATTCATGATTGGATTTTTTTCCCCCTTTCTTTTCAAAACTATTTATTTTATTTTAGGTGTGTGTGCCTGAGGGTATGTCTGTGCATGCAGTACCTGAGGAGGCAAGAAGAGGGCGCAAGAGCCCCAGGAACTGGACTTGTGGGTGCTGTCCACCAAACTCCAGTCCTCCACAAGAGCAGTAAGTGCCCTTAATCACTGACTCACCTCTCCAACCCCCCCCCAAAAAAAAACAGAATCTTGCTATGTAGTCCACCCTGACCTGGAATTTGCTATAGACCTTATGTGGGCTTTGATCTTTGAACTCAAAACATTCCTGCCTCAGCCTTCCAAGTATAGGCCTGGGCCACCAAATCCAGCCATGACATTGGGTTTGGCAGTGACTTATTGGATATGATACCAAAAGAATAGGCAACAAAATAAAAATAGATGAACTGTATTTCAACAACATCCAAGATGTATGTGCACCACAGGACAGCATCAGCAGAGTGCAAAGCTCCTGTGGAATGGAAGAGAATGTTTGGAACTCTGTATCCTAACAAGGGATTGATATCCAGATTACATAATAAAAAGAAACAACACAAAATAAATTTTATACTCTGTATTCATTTCACTGAGGAATTCAAAACAGTTGAAGTTTCATTCAAGGAATAAGTATTGCCAGGCCCTGGGGAGACTGAGGCAGAAGATCTGGAAGCTTAAAGGCAGTTTTTTTTTTGTTTTTTTTTTTTTTGTTTTTTGTTTTTTTTGTTTTGTTTTTGGGTTTTTTGAGACAGGGTTTCTCTGTGGCTTTGGAGGCTGTCCTGGAACTAGCTCTTGTAGACCAGGCTGGTCTCAAACTCACAGAGATCCGCCTGCCTCTGTCCCCCGAGTACTGGGATTAAAGGCATGAGCCACCAATGCCCGGCTTAAAGGCAGTTTTTTAAAAAAGGTTGAGGGGCTGGAAAGATGGCTCAGAGCACTGACTTCAACTCCTGCCCCAGAGGATCTGACACCTTCTTCTGGACCCCTGGGAACACTGCATGCACATGGTGCACAGACATACATGCAGGCAACACACACACACACACACACAATTAAAAGAGCAAATGAAAAGAGTGAGTGTGTGTGTGTGTGTGTGTGTGTGTGTGTGTGTTTGTGTGTTGGTGGGGGTGCTGAGTGTATATATAGCCTGCCTAGCATGTACAGGTCTGGGTTCAATTCCTGGTTAACAGAAAAAGAAGGAAGAGAGGGAGGGAGGACAGAAGGAAAAAAAAAAAAGAAATAGTTCTTGGGGTCTACTATGTCCCAAACACCAAGGCAAACCCCCCCCAAAAAGGAGAAGAAAACAAATATCCAGCTGCTTGTGGTAGCACAAGCATCCTGAGCACTTGGGAGGCTGAGGCAGGGGACCAAACACAGGGCCTTTTGATTATCAGGCAGACGATCTACTACTGAGCTAAAATCTCCAAACTGTAAGATGACTGTCTCGAGTTCAAGGCTAGCATGGTAATGTAGGGCTAATGGAATAAAGGAAGTGTGAGGTTGGGCGTTGGTGGCACACACCTTTAATCCCAGCACTTCTGAGGCAGAGGCAGGTGGAGCTCTGTGAGTTCGAGGCCAGGTTGGTTTACAGAGAGAGTTCCAGGACAGCCAGTGCTACATAGAGAAACCCTGTCTAATAAAACCAAAAAAAAAAAAAAAAAAAAAAAAAAAAAAAAAAAAAAAAGGTAAGTTCTGTAAAATAATTCAAGCAAACCCATTATATAGGGCTGTGGTGTGGTTCAATTTACAAATTGCCTAGCATTTTATCTCTAAAAAAGTATCTTACTGTGGAAAAAAAAAAGTATCCTACTGTGATGAGTCCTTGAAAGAAAAAGAACACGGTTAATGAACAACTTTGTAGACAGCATTCCCTCACTCACTCCCCGGCACACTGCCCTACCCCCCTACAGTGCATTCAACAAACCTGTTTTTTTGGTTTTTTTTTTGTTTTTTTTTTAAGAAGAAAGAAAACTTAATAAACGAACCAAACCAATGATGAAAGCATTGAAGGCACACAAGCAGCTGGAGTACAGCTTAGCAGGCAGAATCCTTGCCTAACTTGTACAAAACCCAGGTTTGACTCCTGGTTCCACATAAGCCAAGCATGGGACCCACACCTGTCATCCCAGCACTGGGGAAGTGGAGGTGGGAGGATCAGAAGTTCAAGGTTGTCCTTGGCTACAGAATGACTTTGAGGCCAACCTGGGCTATATGAGACCTACTTAAAATAAATCAAAACTGACAAAGGGAAAACTGAGGTTGGTTGGTCTGACTTGATCATTCACAATGATATGTCACAAGTATGCACAATTATAATTTTTTCTTTTCTTTTTTTGGGGGGATGGAAGAGTGGTATTGAGACAGGGTCTCTCTGTGTAACAGCCCTGGCTGTCCTGGAGCTCGCTATGTAGACCAGGCTGGCCTTGAACTTACAGAGATCTACCTGCCTCTGCCTCCCGAATGCTGGGATTAAAGGCGTGCGCCACCAACGCCCAGCAGCAGCTTCATTAACTTTTCAATTAAATTTTTAAAAATTAAATGCTTTGCTAAAGAAATGAGGCTGGAGAGATGGCTCACAACCATTTGTAATGTGATCTGGTGCTTTCTTCTGGCCAGCAGGCATACATACAGGCAGAACACTTTATACATAATTAAAAAAAAAAAGATCTGGGGGGGGGTAGAGAGATGGCTCAGAGGTTAAGAGCACCAGCTGCTCTTCCAGAGGTCCTGAGTTCAATTCCCAGCAACCACATG